GGGGGGGGGGGGGGGGGGGCGGCTAGCGGGGGGCTTGGAATAGGCAGTAAGGATTGTCTACAACACGGTTGGCTATCTCTTGTGCTTGGACACTGCACGGATTGCTACCATTGGATGCTCTGGGTGAATCGTCGTCCGTAACCTGTATCCTGTATTTTCTACTATCCCTATGTCGCGTGCAAGTGTGAGCTTTTTCTACGAGATCCTGTCTGTCCGCGAGCCCAGTTTTCGTGCAGCGGTCAAATTATTTGTCGAGTTCAGTCGCCTCTTTCGGTGTGTGCTTGAGTTTCTCGATATTTTTCATGGACGAAAGCAACGTTGTCAATGAACGGGTCGTCAAGACCGCTCGTGTTTCGTCGCGCGAGGTGAGTACACAAGCAGCAGTAGCTTTTCAATACGCACTGCGGTACCTTTGTCGAAAAAAAACATTCGCACACACACCTCGGAAATGTAATTCAATTACGTATGTGCGACAGATGACACTCGCCATGATGAGCGACGCCGGGCTGTTCCACATGGTTCGCTACTACACGAACGGTGTCTTCAAGGCGTTCTGGAGAGATCTGCACAAAAGCAACTCCGACCTGCCCGAGACGACGAGGTTCGCCGATAAACACCGTCATGAGTGTTCCGCGATCGAAGAAATCGCCAACTCGCGGTACGTGCGTCGTGCTTGCCCCCCCCCCCCCTCCCTTCCCCCGCCCCAAGATCATCATCCTTGAGCGGAGTTGTGATTGTTGTTAGCCGGCACAATTCTTGGGCCGTAGTGTAGCGTACTCCTCCCACCTGTGCTGACAAGGTAAGCTCGCACGCAGTGAAGAGGATCCGAGAGCGTCTCGACGCGTTTGCGCTCCAGTTCCCCGGTCTGAGGTCTGAGGTCGGAGGTCGGAGGTTTCCGAGGCCGCAAGTGCTGCTCCCCCCCCCTCCCCGAGCCCCGACACTCGCTGGGCCGTCGCTGTACCTGTCGGGAGGAGCCAGGCGCTACTGCTGAGCGACTGCGAGCACCATGGTTGACGAACGTGCCGGAGAAGCACGGTCCTTTCGCTGGAGCTCCCAGAGGCAAGCCGTTCCCCTGCTTTTCTGTCTTCCACCCATGTCCTCTTCTTTTTTTTTGTTTCTCCTCGCAGGGAGAGGCTGAAGAATTCGGCAGGCGGGCTCTACATCCGCGCGGCGATGCAGTTCATGCGGCTCCCGCTTAAGACGAATCCTGCGGAGGCGCTGAAGAGCACCATCGTGCTCACCGATATCATCTGCCAGGTCCCGGGGATGGTTCGCTACGGTCCCCTGTGAGTGGAGCCTACTGTCACCCGCCTGTCGTCTGTGTTTGTTCGATTTGACCCTCAATGTTTCGTTAGGCCGATCTGGCTGCGCACGGGCTCAGATTGCTGCGCGTGGAGCGCACAAACACCCACGGCGGAGCAAGAAAAGGTGGCGCCGGCCCGTTAACCCCATGATGCTGCCCCCCCCCCCCGCCGCCGCCGCCGCAGCAAACATTACGTACACTGCCTCGTGATGATGTTGAAGAGGCCGGCGATACTCGGCGGTGACAAGGGATCGTACGAAAAGCTTCGCAAGCTGTACAATGTCCTTGACATTGCTGGACCGGACATTGAGGCGGCGGAAGACATGGACATGGCGATGCTCTGCAAGCACCAGTTCTGCAAGTGAGGTCACGACGGGAGCGTTCGTGCTTTAGAGATGACGCAAAGCGCGTTTGGTATGACACGACCACCGTGAGCAAGCGCAGATTCTTACATAGCTGAACACAAATGTATGTTTTGTTTGTTTTTCTTCTAGAGAGCGTGTTATCTTCGCCAGCCGAGAGAGACGTGTCGACGCAGATCGGCATGGCAGTGAGTTTTGTTGGGCAAGTCGTCGGTAGCGCGGGGTAGACCGACGGGAACACGGCGAAGTCTTTGGGCTTTTTGAGAATGGGCGGGCGATAATTTCTAACCGAAGGGGAACATGATCCCACGGTGGACAACATTGGCGTTTTTGTTTCGGCATCGCCGGGATGCCCAACCTACGCGCCCGACCGCCCGCCCGCCCGCCCGCCCTCCCTTCACACCTGTCCAGCGGCATGGCGTGGATCCACCAGGAGAAAATGATCAAGATGAAGAGAGCGCAGGATGCGGCCGAGGCTGCAGCCGCTGCCGGCACCACCACCGGCACCGCTGTCCCTGGTCTTGGCGCTGGCGGGGGGCTCTCCGGGGGGGCTCTCGGCCCCGTGGCCTGCGTCAACGAAGGGGGTGCCGCGACCAGTACCCCAGGGGGCGCCGGCAGCAGCGCTCGGGGCTTTGCCGGCGGTGACACAAGCGGCGGCAGTAGTGCTTCCGCTTCTGCCGCCTCTTCCCCCCATCTCCCGAGTCCCGGCGGCGGGGGGGGCAACAGGATCGATCACTTCCCGCATGCCGCCGCGGCGGCGGAAGCTGCTGCTGAGGTGGGTGCCGGCGGCGGCGACTTGTACGCGACCCCGCCGTTCCCGCAGGAGCAGTCGCCTTTGCCCCATCATGCGCCGCTGTCTCAGTGCAGGGTGGATGACCCCGTCGCAGCCGCGCCTTTCGATGGCACGGGCGCGTCTATGTTTCCCCCGAAGCAAGGGGGGACGGAGCCTTTCCCTCAGGCCCGGGGTGGCAGTGCTGGCGGGGGAGACGCTTCAGCTGACATGTTTCCTCAGGGGTGGATTTGGAACGACTACCTCCAGCAGGGAAGCCACCAGCAACAGCGGAGCCTTGGAAGGGGCGACCTGGCGACCCTTCACCCCAGGGGAGGGCCTTCCGCGGCCGCCTTCCTTGCACCGCCCCAGTCGCAACAGCAGCGGCAGCAGCAGCAGCAGTGGCTACAAGAGCGGCAGCAGCAGCCGCCGCAGTGGGGAGGAGGGGCACCGCCGAGTCCGCTGCGTAACGCGGCGGGTTCGACAGTCGCCGCGGGTGCGGGTGCGGCGGCCCAGCAGGGCGTGGAGGGAACAGAGATGCCGGTGGAACTGTTCGAGTTCGCGCAGAACAAAGTGAGGCAGCAGCAGCAGCAGGAGTCCTTGCAGGAACTTCTCGGGATGGATGAGCATGACGACAGCCGCAGCGTCCCCGAGATCGGCGTGATGGATTCGGACGCGGAAGAGTTCACGCTCGTCTCCGCCGGGCTTGGGGCAGGGGGGGAGGGCGAAAGCCTGCACAGGCTCTTGTTCTCCCCTGGTGAAGAATGACAATGATGCCAACAATGCCAAGGTACAGTACAACCGAGATTGGCGAGAGGTGGATTCGGACTGGGACGAGTTCACGCTCATCCCTGGCAGCACCGCCAGGGACGGGGGGAGATGGCCTGCAAAGAATGTTGTTCACGTGACTCGAAAAGGTGCTGTCTCGAGGAGAGGCCGGGCGTTGGGCGGATCTTGTGTGTCGTGACACGCTCCTCTTGTCGAGGGAAGCCAATCTTTGCTTTGGTCTGGGCAGGAAGATTATCCATCTTTTAACGAGGATGACGGAGGCGCGAAGGGGGGGAGCGTTGGCTCCCAGGACGTCGTCCGGGACGGGGAAGCGGGGGCGGCTAGTTGGTGGCTTTTATTTGTCATGTTGGAGAAATTCAAGCTGTTCTGCCGCCCTTGAATCTGCGGCCTGCTGTAGGACGGAATCGAGATTTAAGGGCAGTGAACGCTTGCATCCAGGAGGGATGGGTCAGGGGCTGCGAGAGACGGGGTTTATGATTGCATGAGTTCATCGACATGTCCAAGGTGGCTTTAGGGAGTAGTACATACTGATGTTTCAGGGCAGGCGGGTCTCGGTAGGACAAGAAAAGCCAACAAGCTTAGTCCATACGCATTTTGTTGAGAATTCCCTGCCCTGGAAACCATTTTGACACACCATCACGCTCTGACAAGCCTGGCTGGGCAGCGCGGGCGCGTGTTGGAAAGACTGACAGCAGTTGCCGCGGAAACCTTCACAAGAAAGAGAGGGGGTTCGGTTCTGTCGCATCGTTTTTAATGATATTGTCCGACGTATGGACCATGCACGCTTTCACGTGCTTGGCGTAACCGAGGTGCGGTGTTGATGGTCGGAACATTTGTAAGTTGAAGCAATCGCAGGGTATATTTGTAAGTTCCTCCGCAGTGTATAAAGCTCTACAAGAAGGGATGGCGAACAAGATAGTCACACGAGGGTTGGGGCGGGCGGAGGGGGAGGACTTGGCGGAGCGTACTTTCCTAGTGAAACTTGAGGTGTGTTGCGTCTCTTCGTTGGGTGTTAGAGTCAGACGAAGGAGCACGGACTCACCGGACGAAGAATTGTATGTGTCTTTCCCCTCTTCCTTTACATTTATATTCGGCGAGTCGCATGAAGGGTGCGCTGCATCCTGCTAAGGGTGTTCGGCATCTTGTGCTTACTTCC